TTTTATTTTCCAACCGCAGTGTAAATGGGGACTGGCTTAAGACTTTTGCACAAAGTCACAAGCCATTCAAACCTGAAGCAAAAAAAACAGTTTGGTGCATCATTGTTTAATCTGTGAACAGACTTATGAGTGAGTTATGGCAGCCTTCAAAGGGCTTTGACTGCGTGCATATTAGTCACTCAATTAAACCCCTGCTGGAAGGGAAGTAAGCTACAGGTCTACAAATATGACGCACTGCGTCTGAGCGGCTCACACAAAATTAGTTCTTTAAGCAGATGAGTAGATTACGGGCATCACAAAACATGACTAAAGCATACTAGAAACTTAGAAGTCTACCAAATTCTCACACTCATCTAAGACGAGAGTGATGGCAAGTGTGATGCCTGCATACAAAACTGCAGATTAGTTTGCACGTTTATTCGTGTTCATTAGTGAAATTACTACTTTTGTTTCTCTTTGGGCGTATTTAAACAGCTATGCCTCCTATCCTCTAAGGACTCATGCTCCTTGAATCCCTCTATTCTCAAATCCCCAATTTAGTCGCCTTTTACCAGAGAACTAGAACTTGAGTGAGCGAACTGGACATCGATATGGGAGGGACAAGACAAAACAAATCACTCTGAACAAATCCTCAGTCCAATTCTCAAGGGCCAGTGGGACCGTCTGAGTCCTGAGGGGAAATTAGAGCGTAATTTGGCTGAGTGTCTTCTTGCATTAGCGCCTGCGTCACTGGTCGATGCAGGCTCCGGGGCCAGACAAAGGGGACCCAGCGAAGCACTGCTTCCTGTGTGCGGTGGGACCAGGCGGGACAGGGTGTCTCTGCTGCCTCACTTTAAGCTGACCCTCCGTCTGTGGCGTGCACTTAACACTGAAGATAACACTGGCTTTATAGCAGGGGGCTGGTGACAGACAGGAACAAACTGCCAGGACACCACTGGTAGCAGGGGCAGAGCTTGGTGCTGAGGTTCAGTGCAAGATGCTTTATTTTATGGAAACCAAAAAAGCAACCACACACACAATCCATTAGTCTGCAGACTGGTGCGGGGGGAGCGGGTTAGGCGGTAACCCAGTCGAGTAGACGGTGAGGGGTCTCAGACAGGCTGGCTCGGGTAGATGTGGATGGTTTTTAAGCAGGAAACGGAAAATATAGAAGTGGAGGCTTCAAAGTCCTGCTAGCTATTAAGTACCATATACAGTAGCTCAAAGGGGAGTTATCAGTCTGTAGAGCAAAGAGGTGGAACCTGGACACACATGGCTCTGCCTTCCAGTGAGTGGAAATGCTCATTATTTAGTGATCAAATCCATTCCTTTGACAAAGGACTGTTGGTGCAGAGAAGTGGTCAGAAACATAAAAGATTGTTTTCTTTCAACAGTAAATTTAAATTCACTTCATCCTGTGATCTCAAAAGACAAAATTGTCCACTCTGCCTGAAACAGGCCCCCAAAAATCAGTGTCTTGGGTTAACAAAGGTGGTGAGGGACTTCGATCACGTTTGCATCATGCAGCTTGCCACATGCCAAATACTGGCCTTGAGATGTAACAAAGTTTAAGCATAAAGGGCACGTTATTATAGTCCTATGGCACAATATGTGCAGTGACGTGATAAAGAAAGTAACCATCTCTTAAGTCTAATATTTGTATGAGGGAAGACATTTAAAAACACAGATGCAACATCTGTAACTAAAACCTGCTAAAGTCAAAGTTCAGAAATCAACAGGAGCCTTAATTAAGACAGTATGTAGCAGCCAGGTGCCGCTGAAGTGTGAGCACCTCAATAAAAGCAAATGTTTTGATAGCTCGCTGGTCTGCAGCATTAAAGCAGCACATCAGTGTGAATGTTGTCACAAATGAAAAAAGAAAAAAACCCATTCAGTTGCCAAGAAATGGACACTTTAGCAGATTTACCCCAAGGTCAGATTGGGCAATGCTCAGAAACTAATGTTTTGGCCAACACCAAACACAGCATATCAGCATAAACACCTTATCAGCTGTGAAGCGTGGTGGTGGAGGGGCATTTTGGCTCAGTGTTTGGTGAACGGAGGATAATGCGTCATGTTTTGTTGTTCATCTGAGGTTGCATTTACTCAATTTTAAGACCTGCTAAGAACCAAATGGTTTCTTGGGTCCTGATGGGTAAAACCTTACAATTAAAAGGGTACAGTACACCTTTGCCACAGAGCAGTATATGAATGAATGACAACAACTCTGGACACTTTTAGAAATCAATGGATACAAAGAGTAACCACTTTGACTGTCTCAGATTTATTGACACAGTTATAAAGCATATTGCACAGGAAGTCCTGACCAACTTTGCCAGATACAGAGACCCACTTAAAAAAAAAAAAAAAAAAAAATTATATATAAAAACAAATCAGCAACAGGAGCCCACACAGTCGTAAAAGGAATCCAAACACATTCCAGATTTTGTTCTGTTTTTAAAACCATGTTGCTTTTGAATTAAACAACTTTTCAAGATATACTTACTGGCATGAAAACATTTTCTGCATACAATCACTTTATCGTGGTTCTGTCCGCGACACAAAAGATGGTAAAGCAGGCGCAACCACGTGAAGCTTATCACTCATTTGTAAATCCAACTCAAAGTAAAATGACGCTAACCAATTAAACATGTGACGCTAAAATATTTGGGTGGTGGAGCAGGACACTTCATTATGTGGAGGAAAGAGAGTGGCTATTATCTAGGAAAGTTATGCAGGTACTTTTAAAAAAAAAAATAAATAAATAAAAATATCAGACTATGGTGCAATTTACTTTAATTTTAGGTCCTTACTAAAAATGTCACCCGTAAACTTTACACAAAACAAATTAAAGAAATATCAAGAGTGTGTCAATATGCATGCGTGTGCAGGGGCTAAGAGTCACCGAGTCTCAGTGGCACCACAGGTCTGTAAAGGGGTTAGGGCAACCAAATGCCTCAAACTTTGAAGTCTGTTTAGGCAAACGCAGCATCAACATATCTCCTCTCTGTCAGGTCAAACGTCCCATGGCTATAGTGCACTTATCTGGCTACTTAAATGTTTAAGATTGGGGGGTTTTGTTTTTTTAAAAACCACTGCTTTATATGACAGTTGTAAATATTTAGGATGTAGGTTATTGAACGCTAATATTTGGGACCCAGAGCCCTGCTGGGTTTTTTTTAAATGTCAACCAGCTAATGAGAGACTGAAAGCAACAGAACACTTGGTCCCAAGGACCGGCACTTAAAACATCCTCACGAGTGTGTGGCTACACAGCTTCCAATCCCACCTTAGCTCAGGCATTTCCTTCCCAGGACCAGATTAAAGTAAAACCATGGTTAAAATAACTTTATCACCTATGAATTTATGCTCATTAAGTCTGATGTTGTCAACAAAGGCCAAAACCAAAAATATGTATTAAATTTTAATCAAAGATTGTCTGTGTATCCAAAGCCTGAGACACTACTGTTGTCAAAAAATAAAATAAAAATCACCCAA